CGAAAAGCCAGGAGGGCTGCAAGACACCCCACAAAGAGTAGGCCAAAGAACTTTACAAAGTTCCATGTTGACGTTTCGTTGTTTTGGGAAATGGACAACATGTTACGGTGAGCTGCGGGATGATACGTGGCAGTGGTTGTCGTTGGTGGTCAAGACGTGTTGGACGCTAGTTCCTGGGATGAAAAGTCTAGACGAATTCGCCCCAGAATGGAACCCCTGGTCCGACCGGCCCGATGTCACGTGTTGTAGACGCGTCGCATCAATGGCAGGGATGGAGATACTATCTGGGCAGTTGTCATGTACATCACGTGACAGTTGTTGAGCATGCCGAGGAGTGTAGGGTGGGCGCGTAGCCTGGTAGGGAACTTATCACCGCCCATCCGGTTGTCGCAACAATGATGTTGGCACGCTCTACACACTTATCAAGGAGATACAGAGCAATACGTGATAGTTTCGTTGGTGGCAGAGTTGAAGGATCTTCGAGATAGATTAAGCCAGAAAGCTTTCTACCCTTGCTACATCTATGAAAGGGTATTGGGCATGGTAATTCCCCCTCTGAAAGTATGATATCACATACATATTAGAAATCCAGTTCATCACCTGGCATATGGCTTTGGTCAGTTTCTGTTCTTTGGGACCGGTCGTATAAACCAGATAGATAGCCGGAGAATCACTCCGTGGGATAATGAAGTGAATTTCAGGGGAGCTGGTGAACAGGTCATTGCAATTACCACCGCTGACGCCATCAATGAACTAAGATCAATGAGTGTTATCAGGAACATGAGTGTGTGGCACAGTGGTGCTTACTGCGCGTTTTCTTTCAATATCCACTCTCCCCATAACACTACAATGAAATGCCCGAGTCAGTTTCATATCGCGATTTCACAGGCACACACATACGTGACCACGATGTCTTGATCACCGATTAATGTGGTGCTAGCAAGGTTTTTACCTCCTTTGAAGAGCTCGGAGAGCCCGGTATGTGGGAGCCAATTTGGCCTTTTCATCTTGCCGATGATCCTGAAGAGCGTTAATAAATGTTGAACCTATCTATGCCTTGTTGACAAAACTGACTTCTGAGTGGCAAGTGCTGTTGGGTAGTTTACTAGTACTGGATCGCCACCTATAATATCACTTGCGCTTGGGTTTCTGAACAGAATTGAGGAGACCTGCATGTTTTTGGTTCATCAGACGTACTTACGAAGATGGCTCTGCATTTTCGGGACCATCATCAGAAAATCGAAATCTGGGGGATAAAATAACACGTAACAATTGGATCCGTTGTAAGTGTCTTCATCACTGTCTTCTTCCTGTCGGGAGAGAACTTGTGCATTGCTGGCCGATTGGTGTGCCTCTGTAAGCGCTGATATATGAACTTCAGACTTTTGCAGAGTAGCCTGGACTTTCGAGGCGAGTCCTGTGGTCTGCGATGCGGCACTGGAGAAGGAGAGGTTGAGCTCTGTCCAGGTGGAAGAATGGACATAAGTACTGAGACCTAGTCTGCCTGCTGTCACTGGTCCAGGATTTGAACATGATTGTTAGGAAATTTACCAACAGTGATGAAGATGGATAGGATGGTGTGCTTGTAGAACTCTGAGGAACAGTTATTATATCAAAGGTTCTTTGGACATGAGGCTTTGTCAAAGGAGACCTGAGAGTCTATTGAACCGGGCTGATTTGGCTGAAATGACTTCCAGGGCCCAAAGCAGCAGGCTTCAGAACCGTGGCACATGGTTGAAGAGACTTGAGTGCTCACGCTTACACCGTGTTCTGATTGCATATCCACTAATATCTACCACGATTCATGTCATAAAGGCCTGGGAGAACTAAGCTTGCTTCCTCTGCTGAGAACACCAGAATAGGAACACCGAATCTGGAGTACTAGTATGAAAGCTCATGAAGGAGGGCCATATGTCCCTGTGCGGGTGCAAAGTGTCTCCATGGCAAGGTTTCAAGGGAAGAACAACTTGTTGAGGGAATTTTGGATGCTGCGGTCCTCGAGAAGAACAACTGATTCAATGATACCTTGTGTATTCATGTCATATAGGTCCCGAAATTTAAGCTTGCTTCCTCTGTCGAGAAGGCCAGGATAGGAACGTCGAATCTGGAGTACTAGTCTGTAAACTTGTGAAGTAGGGCTATGTGTCCCTGTGCGGACGTGAGTGTCTCCATGGCAAGGTTTCAAGGGAAGGACGACTCATCGAGGAGATTTTGGATGCTGCAGTCCTAGAAAGAACAACTATGTTCATGCCCACACCACTGCTGCTGTGCTTAACCTTGCGGCTCGCCTCACAACAAATTTGTGCTCAAACATGGGGCACCCCACTACTAGACGTCCACAGTTACCCAGAAAACTGGCTAAGGCACAGATGAATGAGAGCTCGATGTCAACAGGCATGATGCTGGCGGAGATGAGCCTTACAGTCTGCAGCACCAGACGTGGAGTTGCAAGCGAGACTTGGTTGAATGTGGAGTAAACTAGTTTAGACCTCCAAAGACAATTACTAGTTGGGGTGAGGCGATCCATAAATTTATTATTAGTGGCAATCTCCGGTATTATGTTATGCCGATTTTAGACCTGTAATGTACTTAGACGTCAATTGACCGAGCTTGTTGCCCTCATGGGAATGCTGTCACAAAACGTCAGAGCCAGCCTTGACGGAAGCAGGTGAATGCGCGATTAAGAATGGCGAGGTGACTCACGGAAAAGAGGGGGGGGGCCGAGCGCTGACGAGTATTATTACGTGGCCCAGATCTGTAGCTGCCAGGGTCCATTGTCGCTTCCTCTGCCTCATTCCCCGCTCCCTCCCTTCCACTTAACCCTCTCCTGCCCCCTTCCACGCTCCGAATTGCTCCCCTTACCTCTCCCTCCCATCCTTCCCCCCCTTCGTTCTGTCGTACCCATGATCGACACAATATCAATTCCTCCTAACAGGTGCCGCGAGTGGCTGCGGCATCGGGCGCGCGATCATCCCCATGTCGATTCTGGGACATACTGTCACTTCAGACCTTGCGACCGGGTGGGGGAAGGGGAAAGGGAAAGGGAGGCTGGAGATGACAGGATAGTGGGGTGGGGTGAATGCGCGTATTTGAATGCAAATTGGGGGTTCAGTGGGCGCAAGAGAGGGCCAGCAGTTGGAGCATCATTCATCAATGCATCAGGTAGTGTTGCCTGCATGTGATGCTGGATGTGGGGTGTATGCGCACATTTGTTCGTGCCCTTTTTCATGTTAGGGATCGGATTCATCATCCATGTATAACTTATATTCTAGAATTATCCATATAGAAACAAGTTTCGCTCAGAGAAGATACTGAGAAAAAATGTGCCCGGCCTCTGTAAGCAAAACACTGTGCTGGGACTCCGAGGCACAAACTTGCCAGATTCATCCCCAATGTGGGCACCGCAGGTCGAACGCGGGTGCCCCCAACGTGTTGCAGTATGCAGGTATGTGTGAGCTATACCCCCATTATCTTGTTCGGTGTTGTTCGAACTATCCTGCGGCTGTGGCGAAAGGCGGGGAAGAAGGGGGAAATTAAAACAATTTGTGGATGATTGAGCAACCAATGGGGCGGCGCAGGTCGAACGCGAGGGCCTTCAGAGCCATATCATGTACGAATGCACTTCAGTTATTCGTGCAGACGGTGGGGGACGGCATGAGCTATGGCCCTATGATACATACATATGTATCCTATGTCCTTGACACTTGGGTACTTACTACTTGTGTGGTTTTCCTAGAGCGATTGTACCTTGAGAAGGTGTTGGAAATGTAAGTCAGGGAAGTGTGCAACGACAAGAGGCGGAGAAGAGAAGAAAGAGAAAGGCGGCTCGGGATCCAGTGGAGGCTGATAAAAACGACAACTTTCCAAGATATCTTGGCATTGGGGCAGCACGGATCGAACGCGGAGTGCCCCCAGTGCCATCCGTACGGGTGAGTTCATGCAGATGGTTGGGGACGTTGATGGCTTGAGCTATATGACACTGTGACTAGATACATTCTTAGAATTATGCCTTGGATGGGTGTGTGTGTGTTAAGAATGGAGGACACTCAAGAATCGCGCCTGTGGAATGCATGTAGGCAGGCATTTCAAGTGTGGCGAAATGTGAAGAAAACAAATGGAGGGTTTGGGGAGATAAAAACATCTTCCGCGGGCAGCATATATATGGGGAATACAAGGGCAGATGGTTGAGCATGCAGAGGGTACATTATGCCCCTCTTGTTATGTGTGTGGCAGATGGGCGAGAGGAGGAGAGGAGGATTCAAAGGGTTATAACAAAAGTTGGATACTGGTGTATGTATTGTGGCAGGCACTGCGGATCAAATGCAGACTCCCCTTGAGCTCATACGCTATTATGTTTGCAGACGGTCAAGTACCGGTACCCTATGCTCATCATATTATACCTTTGCCCAGAGGCGAAGAAAGGAGAAGAGCAGGGAAGAGCAGCTGAAATATAAAACACCAGATCCAGTTGTACAAAACAGGGGGGCCTTCGGAGTATATGAGGGGAGGCGGTAGGGTATGCTATGGGTACCCTATCCTATGCCCATCGTTATTGTAAGTTATGTGAAATGCAATCAGGAGGCTCGAGGAGTTCTCGAGGTGCTAAAAGAGAAAAAAATACCGAGATGAACACGCCTATGGGGGCACCGCGGATCGAACGCAGGACCTTCAGAATACAATGTTCGACAATGACTTCAGTCTGCTGCTCTCCCAGCTGAGCTATGCCCCCGTTGAATGTACCTTTCAGAATACCAGTCCTCTGTGGGATTGCTTCAGTCTGCTGCTCTCCCAGCTGAGCTATTCCCCCTTCTTTTGTCAAGTCCCTCTCCTTCAAAGTCGCACTTAAAGTCAAGGGGGTGGCGGAACGCGGATCCCGAACACCGGGTAGGAGGGGGGGGGGTCCGGCCGACCCCCTTAAAAAAAATTTGGACCACCCAGATTTTTGTTTAGAATCAATGTGTAGGGTACCTTTACATGCTCAAAAACAATTCACAGCCAGCATGAATGCTTTTGTAGGGCTTTGGATACTGGTGGAGGCCTGAGTGCTCACCAAGCAGTCGATTCGGCACGCGCAAGAACAAGTCCGGCAAACACCGAATGCCGATTTTCCATCTGTAATCTTACTCTCTGCCCGTCGTTGGCACCCTCTTGGATGTAACCTCGCTCCAAGAATGCTCAGAACCACCAGGTATGTCAATAAGCCCATCCCCTCGTCAAAATTCCTGATTTTTCCTGTAAA